AGGAGTAATTCATTTAGAACTCCTCAATCCACAGCGAACTGTCAATGCAAAGATCTATAGTTAGCAACTGGTACGTTTAAATCAAGTCCTTCATCAGAAACGTCCTTCACTCGTCAATCGAGAAGGTATTCTTCTCCACGACAATGCACGTCCACATGTGTTACGTTTGACGCAACACAAGATTATGGAGTTGGGTTGAGAAGTTCTCCCCCACCCACCATATTCTCCAGATATGGCACCATCAGATTACCATCTTTTTCGTTCGCTGCAACACCATCTTAATGGGAAATGTATGTAAATATGGAAGGTGTCAAAGAGGACATCGACATGTTTTATGCTTCCAAGCCAAGTGATTTCTTTAATCAGGGCATTAACAACCAGATTGTAAGATAGAAAAGGTTCATCGATAAGAATGGAGACTATTTCATTTAATAAATTATTTGTATTGATATATAAGTTGTTGGGTTTTTTTATCTAAAAAAAGCGACATTAATTTCTTGACGACCTAATACTAATCGTCCTACAGGTAGAAACATACATACGAAGTTCTATATAACTGTTGTAAACTAATGATCGTCCTACAGGAAGAAACACGCATAACAAGTTCTAAATAACTGTTGTAAACTACTAATCGTCCTTTCTGCTAATGCCATGAGCTGGTTCCAAAAAGACATTGTAGCCTAAAGCCATGAGCTGACTCCAAGAAGACCTTGATATCTAAAATCCATGAGCTAACTCCAAGAAAACCTTATTATCTAAAGCTATGCTCTCTGCTCATGCCATGAGCTGGCTCCAAGAAGACATTGTAGTCTAAAGCCATGCTTTATACTAAAGCCATGAGCTGTGTCCAAGAAGACCTTGTTATCTAAAGCCATACCCTCTGCTAATGCCATGAGAGATCTCCAAAACAAACAACATCGGAAAGTCAAAGGATGCGCGAAATAATTCAATAATATATTACAAATCTAGTATACAAGAGGTGTTAGGGAGGGAGGCAGTTGTCGAAAACAACAAAATCAGAGTTCACTTATTCATATCTGAACTATTTATAGGGTATTATTAAGCCTATCCATTTCTAAATCAGGCAAAATAAGTTAGAAATATGAAAATTTACTCAGAATTATTATTGAAAGATTTACCTATTTTCTTCATAACTCTTTTACAGTCATGTTTATTGGTAAACAACTTCTCTAGTGTTAAATTTATTTTTAGATACACGATAAAAAACAAAAAGACCCATGTTTTAATACTAAATTATTTATGTGAATCTTGAAACCAGTAAACTGTGGGAGTTTGAAGGAAATGTCCCTTCTTTCAGGTGGTACAAAACTCCAAACACTTTTCATACCTAAAATAAAGATTATAATAGTTGTACTTCCGCAGGGTCCCCGAAAGTGTTCTGTTTCAAGAGTAAATATAACCATAATTAAGAATAACAAATATTTTTATTTTTTGCTTTTGAAGTTCATGTGTCATGTTGTGTCGTAGCCTGCTGTGCGCATACTCCTTCTCGTGGTTCGTGTCATGCGCACGTTTTACTGACATCACGACAGTACAAATTGCAGTGTTAAGCGTCCCTTATGTGACGTCATTTTAGTGTCTACTGACCAGTTGACAGACAACACACTACTGTATAGTGGTGCGAATGGTTAAAACAGGTGTCCCCTCCAGGCGGCCTTCGGCCCTCTTTCGGGGAAATAATTTGTCACATTGTGTTCTATGTATGTGCCAATTACAGTACTCTAAAGAAAGACATATACGTGTTCACGGCAGTGAAAGAATAAAAAAAAATCTTAAAATATCATCAGTGAACATGGAACACAGAGTTATCTCTGACATTCACTTTAGGAGTGGCTGAAGTAGCATTATGGATCAACAGTATGAAATGTTAGAGCTCTCAGCTTGTCTATGTTAACCTAATAGCGAGTATGTCCATCCTGGGTGGCAAACACATGCTTATAACGTCATTGTAGCTCTCTGATTAGCGTTTGTTTCCCAGCCGATTCAGTATTTCTGGTGGGCGAGACAGACGTCATATCTGTCTTTGAAGTAGATACCAGATGTAACCTATGGGGTTGAAGCTAGAAGAAAATGCTGGTTTTCTCCAATCGCACAATAGTTTCTTGTTCAAGGCACACAGTGATAGCACGTGCACAGTCAAAAAGAGCGTT